GCGTCCCCCCCGTGCGGCCGGGGTCCAGACTCGGCAGGCAAATAAATAAGGGCCTGTACCGTGGAAATCAGGCTGTGGATAGGAATATCTAGCAATTTGGGCGTTGCAGGATTGTCAACGGGACCGCTTATAAATTCTAATAAAGCCCGTTGCACCGCGGCGAAATCTAGAGACAACGGTGGCAGGGTGGACGGGAACAGGGGGATACCGGTCTGGATACTGGATATAAATCTCGACTAACCGAATTAACTTAGAAGCATGGGCCGAAGTTTCGCCACGCCCTCGTCGCCGATGAAACGCTATCGAAACCCGGAGTCTGCGTGGTGAAAACTGTGGCGAGACGGGAGAAGAGGAAGAAACGCGTTTGCTGGGAGAGGTACAAGGGGGGTGTGGATGAAGAAACCGCGACTTCGGTGTCTTGACGTTAATTAATGCGGGACCGATCATTGTTACTCTTCAAAAGGAAGATGAAAATTAGTCAGAGAAAAAGTGATCGTTCCAGATATGGTTCCTTCTTCTTTAGAGATCGGTAATCAATGCTGTAGTTAGAGATAGGAACAGAATAGTTGATACTATTGTCATTACCGTTGGTTATTAACGGGAGCAGAGGTTTCTTAGCGTAAGCCATACCCAACCAGGTATCAGGTAATTGCGTTTGGCTAGTGTAGCAGCTTCATCAGGTTTCCTGTTAGAGCTTCCGCGCAATCAAACACCCCAATCAGGTGATTTTCAGGTAATCAACTGATCAATAGCTGGTATTATAATAGATATCATTTCGGGAAATTAACTTGGGTCAACGATATTCTAAAGAGATCAATTATAAATGTACTAATTGTTAATACTGACGTCACAATCCTGACGCAAGTTACAAATCAAATGAATTCTAATTATAATTTTCCCAGTCAAAGATCGTTAAATGCCATGTATTCATTTGTTTCAACCCTTTGACTGTTATGAACGCTCATAAGTAATTACTAAAACGCGTATTACTAATTACACACCATGTGATAAAACAATGAAAAGATAAATTAAGAACACAGAAAATATTTAAGTCTGGAGTACTCAGCAATCAAAGGGTTAAAATTCAAGCAATGAATAGCAATTATCATCGAAAAAATCATAGGAGAAGGGGTTAACTTGAATCCATTTTCTATACATAAATCCAAGTTACTCGAATTTTGTTCATTTAGAAATGAACTTCTCCTGAAATCCCTTATGCCTACGGGTACTAAGTCGCGATTAACGTCCGGGACCCTTTTTCCTTCGTCCAGCAAGTGTCCCACCTAATGATGTTCCGGCGCGTGCCACTTCGCAGCATGGGGTTTATCCCCGAACCCCATGGCTACCAGCTAACCGAACTATTTGTCAGCCGATGACCAGTAAGACGAGCATGCTTGCAAGCGCATTATGCGGGAAACAAGCGATACGTTTTTCGAGGGTTTCACGCGACTTCGCAGCTCCGCCGCACGCGTTACTTATTGGAACAGATTAATTGGCTTACCAGCACCCTCGGCTCGTTTGTGGGAATCTATCGAACGACAACCATTATTCCAACCTCCCATCAACCTATATCATATTAAATGATCTGGATGAATATTTGATAAAGCGCGACTCGACGACACCCTCCGTTTCTGGTACACGATGAGAAATTGAAATTCTGATCATCGATGATGTTTCAACATATATCTTTGGGAATATTGAAAATTTTACTATCATCGCGAATTTCTTGAAGAGAAACTGTCTCGATTTCAAAGATGCTCGTCTGGAGCATCCTCGGCGAGACGGAAACACGATCGCGTCGTCGGGATAAAAAGGCAAGGAGGAAGAAAGCGTTTAATAAGCACGTAACGGACATCTAATACGTCTCGACGTCGAGTTTGAGCTTTGACGACACTGGCAACGAGCAAGAGGGATCGGGGGATGATCGCGTTCGAGGGTGGGAGCGTGGCGGAAGAGGGAGAACCAGAACTCGATATCTCATTATCGGTCGATCGTAAATTGAAGTTACCGGTAGGGAGTAACGAGATCTCCAATTATCCTTGGGACAGTATCGGCTTGCGTGTTGTGTACAGGTGTTGACGTGGCGATCATTCGAAGGAAAAAGCATCCGGATCGCTTGCTAAAGTATATCAAATGAGAATTAGGCAAGAAATTCATTAATTTCATTCAAATATTGCTGACATATAAGCCACCCATTTAGCACAAAACAAGAAACAAACAAAAATTGATAAAATATAAAAAGTTAAGCTTTGAAATGAAAATTTTAAAAAATTCAAAAAGTCGAGTTAATCACTTTGGCCTATGAACGATTAATAATTTTGTAAAATAAGAAAATTAGCTGAACACGAATTGCTAATAACGAGAAGAAAAATAATACTCGTTTCGTCTATACTGTCTTTACTGGCTATTTCCTGTCCCTTCTTCCTCCAGTTCCTCATCCGTTTTGGTTCTCCTTGTTCTATCGCGCGTGCTGTTCCTTGCTGCGCCTCTCCTCGCGGCTGAAAATCAAAAAGCTTTCGGTTAGGTAGACCTTCGAGGACCCTCGTCCTGCTAGTACCTGACGGCAACTCTTCAGCCTCGGTTTCAATACATCGTGCCGGGTATCGAGACTCGAGTGTTGCGGCAAGAAGCAGGCAGGTGGGTGCCGTCGACTCGTCCTCTGTCACCCTTCCTCCTTTTCCCTCTTTCCCCAACTTCCTTCAGCCCGTTTCCGCATCGGCATGCACACTCTTTCGTCCGTTACGTTCGGCTATCCGTTGCTTTGCCAGCGTGTATCCAACACGTATCGGTGTATTGGTAATCCATTGGAAGTTACCCCGACTACCTCTGTTCCTCAGACCAACGTCACCCTCTTTCAACACACCATCCCGTGCAAGTTGGACGCGGTAATACCATGGTATTCGGAGTCTTTCCCTCGATCTTCCTATCGATGTCCTTCTCTCCATCGCGGTATCGTTGTCCTCCTCCATCGTTCGCCTTCTCTACACCCTGTTTTCCCTTTTCTCTCTTCCTTTCGATCCCCCTCTTTGCCCCTTTCCACTTGCCTCGCTCATCCGGTCGCACTTTATATATCCACCCCTCTCCCTCGCTCTCTCTCTTTATTCCCATTCCCATTCTCATCCTCTTGTTTTGGTCCAATAGTCAGTCGCCGGTCTGATCGATGATACGCCAACAGCCAGTACTGCGCATGACCGACTAAATACAAACTCGCTCCTTATTATACCGGGTGTGCCAATAAAGAGGGGCGGAGGGGGTGGCGGGACAGAGAATGGAGAAAGGACGAGGCGTCGACGGGGCACGTGGGGTGGGAAGAAGCTCATCGTCGCGGAGTTCTAGCTCCTTCGAGTCGACGAACGCCACCATAAAGGATCCTCTTCTTTCTCCGTTGCCTCGTTTCTGCTACCGCTGCTCCTGCAATGCAGCCCCTGGACCCTTCCTTCTTCGTCCACCTATATATTCCGTGTACGTATATGCGCGTACATGTCTTCGTCCCTTGGCGAGCTGTTCCTGGATGCCGAAGGATAAATCCCGGTTCCTGATTTCCGATCCTGAATCCTAGACTCGTTCGCGTGCTTCCGGTTTTATCTTCATTTTCAACTAAGACGTCATGTAGTTTATTTTTTGAGAAACTCCTAATTCGCGACGTCCTTCGTTCAGACGTCGAGCAATTTATTAAAGATGCTTCCCGGTGCAAGTGCATTTCAAATAGATTTCATCGTGGCTCGTTGCTGAAGCGTGCAATCGCTGTCGCGATTCCGCATGGAAATCGAATAAAACAGCTTTACGATCGGTACAGTCATTTACGCGTCAGCGAACAGAACGGCTGTCCCCGAGCAACGACAGCTTTCCAACAGAATTCTCTTCAGCTTCTCCGTCGACCATCGCTATTTTCAGGACAGAACCTCCTGGGTCTCTTTTTCTCTTTCCATGTATTAATTTTATTAATAGTTTTCTATGATATTTAGATTTGCGATATTCAGAGGTGACCCAGGTGGTAGTCAATGCGTTTAATATTGCAAAGGCAGTTGGTTGAGAGCGATGCAACATTTGCATGTTGTATTTTCCTGGCTGGCAAGGGGGTGGGTCGCGGAAAAAAAAGGCCGGCCATCTCGTTCGAGGCTAGGCGGAAGATAATTTCGGGGTGGCAGCGCAAATTGACAGGGCAACGCGTTCCCATTCATTCGAATTACGTTCCAATTCTGCCGGTGACTTTAGCATTGTTGCTACAAATTGGTACACGCCCTGGCCTCCGGCCCTCGCATCCCACCACCCTCTTCTCTCTCCTCTTCTCATCCCTCATCCCTGCGCTGGATGGTACACACGTCTCGCAAATGATGCGTGTGCGGGTCCTTTTTAAATCACTCTAGCCGAAGAATGCATCTGACGGATGGACTGGATTTAACAGACACTCTTTCGAAAAAATTCATTCGAATCGAAATTATTAATAATAAACGATTCGATTAATTAATCATTCACGATTACTGGAACTCGATTCGTATAACAAGAGAGGGTAATACGTGAAAACTTGCTGGAAATGAAGCTCGTTAAGCTCGAAACTCGTTGCGTGACCCAAGGAACGAACCGGCACGCGTCTCCACCCTAGGTGGTCCTACGATCGGAATCGTTAACAAGTAACCTAACAGGAGAACGAACCACGGAAAACAGTATAACGAGGAGTAGATACAGGTCATTTAAGCGTAATAGTTAACTAGAAGGTGACGTGGAACCGCACGCACGAAACTGATCGCACGGCTGGCTCATAGTGCGCCAATTAGGAGACAATGATCATTAAATGGACAAGCGAGTCAAAAATGTGGTCGTCGGTGCTTTGACGATTTTAAGAACTCTTTCAACCGTATCTGGCTACTAACGAGTAATCTTCTGCTTGATTTGTTGGGTATAATTAGTTAAGCCCACTGGGCTGGTAGGGTGCAATTAGTATTTCACTAATTATCCAGTTGGGATGATAATATTTTCGATTCGAAATTGCTCGTTTCCAGGTGTGGTTCCAAAACCGGAGAGCAAAATGGCGCAAAACGGAGAAGTGCTGGGGTAGAAGTACCATAATGGCGGAGTATGGCCTGTACGGAGCGATGGTACGACACTCGCTACCGCTTCCTGAAACGATCCTGAAGAGCGCCAAGGAGAACGAATCGGTCGCGCCATGGCTGTTAGGTGAGCATCGTCAAAATATCTTTCGACCATCTTGAACAAAGCGATGCCATTAAGTTTTGCTAACTTCAGAGTCTTGCATTTAAGAATTTATTTCGTTGGAAGTTGGATCGTTAAAAGCCTACGGAGCGAGCAATGCTTAATGAAACATAATCGAAACACGTCCCACTTTGCAGAGAGTAAACAAAATCTCGATCTTGTATTTTTTTTTGTTCGTCCTTGTCAGCTCAATCATCTAAGACGAGCAGCTTTAGTCAAGATATCGAAAATAATCAAGAAATGATTGACTGTGGCCCCGCAGGGATGCATCGGAAGTCAATCGAAGCGGCGGAACATCTCAAGTCCGGCGGCGAGGACAGCGGAAACGATCACAATGGAAGCGGAAGCAGTCCCCATCACAATCATCATCAAGGTGGACCGACCAGTTCCGAGAGCGGCCAAGAAAGCCAGGACGGCATGGGACCTTCTTCGTCGACAGGTAACATCCCTGAAAATAATAAATTCATTAATTCATAGATTAATGAACTGCTAAATTAATACATAAAATTAACCTTGATCTTAGAAGAGCTCCCGATGGCAAAGGATCTTGATGCAACGTCAAGTCTGTAATTAATTCGTTTGAATTGTTGTTTCAGGAATGGTTCAGGACACGGAGCAGCTGAGAAACGAGAGCATCGCCTGTTTGAGGGCGAAGGCTCAGCAACATCAGCTACAACTGAGCCTACAACCGACGCCAGCGCCTACCAGCACCTCGTACCCTGCAGGACCCCCGTCGAGCACGCTTCATGCTTCCGTTTAATCATCGTTTCAAACGTTCATCCAATTAGACAGCGTTCGACACCTTCACGGACAAACTCATATCGATCGATCCTCCTTCGAGGAATCGTCGAGGAACTCGTCGAAGACGTAACGTCTCGAGACGATAATCATTACGCGACTTTACCTCGAGCTTTAGGTGCGATGAAAACCTTCGCGAGAGGTCGTAGATCGTTCCTAGGAAGAAGGAAGTCGTTCCTCGTCCGCGATGAAGGTTTTCAATTTTCGACGAAGCAGGGTAAATATTCATTAAAGGATACACACCACGAATCGTAGAGAAACATACACACAACGAATACGAATACGAGTTCGATTTCGAACAATGATCTGGCCGCATCATCGATGTCGCCCAGGGCCTATGTAGTTCTCTGCTTTCCTTCGGTATGACGAATCGATAGGCATCGATCACGAAGGGAACGCGCAACGAGAATTATTTCGAAGTCGGTCCTCATCAACGAAACGGTGGCCTATGGACGGCCAGTACAATGACGAATCATCGATCGCGGATAAAGCTCGCTTTCAACGTTCGTCCATCTAACGCTCGTTCGGAAAAAATGAAATTAAAAAAGAGACAATTGTTAAGTGAAAACGAACGAGCGAAATGAATCGACGCGACCTGGAAGACGAACAACTAATTAGAAGTTAGAACCGCTTTAAATAGTGCGAGTATAAATAAATATGTATACATATGTGTGAGTACAAGAGAATGAGAGAATGAACGCGTGAACCTTGTGTAAACCGTGAAACGAACATTTCGCCTTTAGGAGACATCCAAACGATTTGCAACGAACGATTAAATAAATCAATCAATCAATCACAGCGACACGAGTGAGACGAGTTAACGAATTAATAGTTATCGGACACATCGAACTTAATCAAAGCTGAGAATCCATGATAAATCAATGAAACGAGAGAGAGTGAGAGAGTGAGAGAGTGAATGGAAGAAGAAAGTTTCTTTGAAAATGAACGAAACAGAGTGCAAACGGACAATGTTTATTAGCGAACAATTCCTATACCCAAGTACTTAAAGAAGACGTAACTGTTGTCAAATGTGCAATATGTCGGTATAAGTTCTAGCTCCGTAAGGCATTATACTTTATTTACGGATACGACTACGTGAGGCGGCGATGGTCGGGGTAAGGGTGTCAAAGGACACCAGCTGAAGACTTACGTTAATTAACCAATTGATCGTAGGATGCAAGGAATTAAAAAGAACAATAAATCGATGTAAACTAATAAAATAAGAAGAGATACCTAAGCTCCAGCAAATCACTTTTCATGGGGTGAGAAATCTTTTAGGAAGATGATCCTCTTTGCATCCTAAGGTTAACAGATTAGAGTGTTTAGAGCACGCGTTACAGAAAACTATCCACAGCTGATTTTTATTCTTCCATTTTCAAGCGAGTTTTCGTGCCGCGATGGCGCCGTTACCTCGCGCCCCCCGCCCACTGTATATAAATATATAAATACAAGATATACATATATAAATAAATATATATATATATATATAAAAGAATATAAATGCAAATATATGTGGTTACGCTGTAATCTAAGTCGAACGAGCCTCTTTGCGGTTTTGCACGACAAAATCGGTCCCGAAACAATTTCACTTTGCACTTCCTAGTTTTCGAATATCGATGAAGTCACTTTTTGCACGTTTCTTTGATTCGTTGAGGTATGGAAGAAAATAAATAGCTGGACGTTATGGAAATGGGACGAGCAGAGGGTTTCGTTCGTCTTAGACCCACCGGATTATACACACGTAACGTAACGCATTATAATTTAAACGAAACAATTACGGGATGAGGTAATCACATGCTGTGCGGAGGCAAGGGTGGAAATGAAACGGAGTACGATGGAAACAAGCCCAGTGGTGTTGTTTGTGAGGTACAATGAACAACGCGTTTCGGATCTCAAGCGAAATCCCTGTATCCGGATGCCCCAACGCATGCATAGTAGTCGGCTAGTGTATGTAATAAATAAAGTTTCTGAACAAAATTACATCGTCTTACTACGTTATTTCCTTTTCTGCATATGAACCTTTAAAAAGGATTCCTCTGATAAATTTATGTAGATCCTATTAAAATATTTAGGAATTTTTCCAAATTTCTATACAGTCATTAAGGGCGATTTTGATTAAAATAAATAATAACCTCTTAAGAAAATTTCGGACAAGCAATTTTTCAAGTAAGAAATGACGAAATTTTTTATTCCGCCGGCGTTAACAACGCAACAAGACTGTTTTTCATTAAGGCCAACAATTACGTCTAATGACGTGCTCGGATTTTTCACGGGAACTCCACTTAATTCTCATTTGAAAAATGAATTATGAAGTTCGATGTATTATGAATTTTTTTTTTTTTTTAGATCACTTTTAACGGTACACGATACAAGGGAACCGTTGACGCGAAAAAATAATTAAAAGTTTATTAATTATCGCGCGATGTAGGCGATGTAAAAATACGTATGCGGCCTGAATTTTTAATGAGCGTTCGAACATCGTTAATACGATTGGAATTTGGTTGCATTCAATGCACATATTTTCGTTCGAATTCTTTTTCAATTTCATCTCATTTATCAAACGCTATTTTATTTTTCATCCTCATATTTTGCAAAATCACACGTCTGTACTAACAAAAATTAGGAATCTTTTAATTTGTAAACTATTGGGGTCTATATGGATTAAAAAAATTCGCAACTATGACGTGGTAGGAATTAATTAATTACCTGGTTAATTAGATAGAGTAATAATATAGCGTATGCAGGAATAATCAGTATCTCTGGCGCCACCTTTCAATAGTACGTGAGTCACATTTGAAAAATTCTGGGAAATTTCATTTTAAGCGCCATCTGCTATCGGTCGTAAAGTTTTCAGCGTAAAGCGATGCAAGCACCGACGAGGGATTTCGTCGGTGATGCAAGCATCGAAGCCAAACTCCGAATTCCGTGTCGGTAAAACAGCCCACGTTTCATCGCAAATTAGACCGAACAGAAACTGATTTAAACGCCACCTCAGCTATTGCATCTAACTAACGGCAATTCTACGGCAAATTAAACAATACTGACCATTCATTCATTATTATTAATTTTTTTTCCGTAAAATTGTATTTGCAATGTTGTACACTTCAGAATCTCAAAGGCATGGTTCCTGAAAAAAATACAGCAGAGATTAAATTTAAAAAAAAGCATAAATTTCGCCAATTCACTCGTATTATTTACTGCATAATTAATAAGTGTATCATTGAAATAATGATACAGTTATTAATTAGTCATCAAATAATAACGATTGCCCAGATCTCACCACGGGGAGGTTGCTGCGGGTGGAGACCCGCCCTACCTCATCCCATCCACCCTCCATTTATGCAAATTTTTAATTTCATTCAATGACATCATCCTCTTGATGTACATTTGCAAAACGTTTCAACTGTTGTGCAAACGAACAACAAAAGGAGCATTATCTTTATTCACTACCTGACTACTTATATTTTTCTTTCTTAATCCTACCTTACAATCTTTTTATTTTGATTACAGATCTATAATTAGTAATATGCAATTGCATATTTGTCTTACATCTAAATACTAAGAATACGAGCGCTCATATAATGACAAAAATTCGCTTAAATCTAAAATATCCTAATTAAACACTACAGTGTTTAAATTTAATTGTATACTTATTCAATTACTTAACAATCTAAAGGGATATAAACAAACACCTATAATGAATTTGTTGAGTTGGTTGTCCTTACCACAATATTTCCTGAAATATACTAAAAAGAATTAAACATAATTAAAAAAAATAAAATAAAATTTATATTGCCTTAACCATAGACTTACAACCTGTCTATATACAAATTTAAAGAGATATAAATAAATACCTATAATAAATTTGTTGGTTCGATAATTCTTACCAGAATATTTTCTAAAACAAATTAAAAAGGATTAGGTCCAATTTTGAATCATTTTTACATCACTGTAGTTAATTGAATACCTTAACTTCATACTTCCTGTAAAGATATTTCTCTAAAACAGAAACTGATTAATTGAATCCAGATAAAAACAAAAAAAAATTTATAGCAGGAAAGGAGATACATTAGTAACAATAAAATTTAACAAAAATCAGAGGGATTCTTAATAACTCAAAATCAATTTAATACGAAATATATATTAGAAGCAAACTAAAAAGTACCAAAATAAAGAGAAAAAGATTTAGAAAAATATATATTTGAGTTAAATGATTTGAGTTAAGAACATTAATTATTTCATTTTATTCTATTTAATATTCGTTCATTACGCGACAAATAGTACACAATATTTTTATTAAAACAACTGTCTTTTACTGCAATATACATACAACCATGACTCTACTTGACTTTATTGCATTATATTATTCAATACACCTTTCAATGTAAATTTGTTGTAAATGGCAAAATTGAAAAGAAAATCGCAAGAGGACTTTGCTTTTCAGGAAAAGAATTTGAAAATTTATAAAAGTAATTTAATTAGCTTCTCCGTAAGCTTGAAACGAAACATCGCGATGAAAAATTAAAACTGAACAATTCGAACAACAATTATCCACTACTTTTGTTTAAATAAAGTGAAATAAAAATTTAATAAGCTATCTCGAATGAACAAATATTCCTTGAAATAAATGATCACCAATCATCAAAAAATAAAATGAATTTCCATTTTAAATAAAACTTTGAATAAAGTTCTATCTAAAACTTTATCGTATCTAATAATATCCTGAAAACATTAAATTCATATATTATTTAACAGTTTTTCCAATAACCGAACGCTCAATATTTTCAAAATTAAAAAAAGGGAAGAAAAAAGAATGGGGGCGGGGCAGTGGGAGGGAGGGTACAGGGGAACCTGAAAAGAAAAGTTTGACTGCCCATAAGAGCAATCTCTAAGCAAACCCTATAAAACAAACCGAAATCACACGCAACACTAATTTCAAAATTGCAAACATTCTGAACTATGACAAAACATCGGCTGGCAACGAAGGGTCTCACACCCCCTAGACTTACGCCAAACGCTACATACCACCCACCCCGCCTGGACGTCGTAACGCCAGGACAGAGTGCACCCCCTCGCTAAGAGCGCTACCCGCCCGTCCAACACGTTGCATCCAACGGTGTCAGATTGACGGACGCCCATAGTATAGACAAAAGGACTACAGTTTAAAATATGGTAACATATTTTCATATGTTCCGTATTCTAAAGCTGCGCCTGCAAAGGCCTAGTAATGCATGGGTATATCTCCCAGAGATGGTGTTCACGGTCTTAGGCCGCGGAATCCTTGACTAGCAATGGATTCCCACCGAATGTGAGTCATAGTTACTTCCACTAATTTAATAAATGCAAAAAAGAAAAAAATTTAATAACAATCGCGAATTCATTTGCAACACTAATTTCATTAATTATATAATATGTACAAAAGCGTACGCGTGAAAGCTGCTCCATTATGCGCAACGCTAAGCTGAAAAAAAGAAAAAAAGAAAAAACGCGAACTGTAACGCAACACTACTCAAATCTACCGAATTTTGTAAGACGCAAC